TTTGAACCGCTGAACTGCAGATCACAGTCAGCTAAAGTGGCCTGCAGTACTGCACCCTAATCACTGCGCCACCTCGGCTCTAAATCCACACATCTTAAAGTTGCTGAGATAGAAAAACACTGTAATAGACAATCCTGCATCTGAAAAAGGGGACCAACTCAGTCAAAATCTAAGTAAATATTTCCTACTCTCAAGTGATAACAATTTTGCAGCGTCATTGTCGTGGAGATGCTTGTTTACATTTTCCTGGTATTTAATGTATTAACCAGGAATATTCTGTATGCAAACCACAAGTTACTTTGGAGTGGAAGCAACAAATTAGCAAGAACAATTTTCTTTTTGAGTAACTTTTACAAAACACTTAATCTCACATTCTTTGTTTATTTCTTTTAAAATATATGCTTCACACATATATAAGCAATTCAAGATGGGAGATAGAAGCGACTGCTGCATTATAAAAGAATTAACCCCAAAATTATATTGGGACATTGAGTTTAAGAGAAAGGGAGCAAAGAAGAATAATTGAGTGGGGGGGGGGATAACTTCAGAAAAAGTAGTTGCATTTGTTCCAGCAAACAAAAACAGCACCATACTAACAACCATCAGCATTTAAGTATGGCATGTAAGTTTTGGAACTTAGGGTACACTTTCAGAAGGAGCAAACCCCAAATTTTCAGAATCTTAGTTGGAATGGATTCTGCCAAAAAAAAAAAAAATCCAGTCTTTCACAACTTAATATTCCCTAAATATACTGGGAAGCAACGCCCAGAGCTTAGAACTCGGAAACTCTGGAGTCAAGAGTCTCAACAAATGGTGAGCTGCCAGGCTGGGAAGATTAGTAGGTTACCTCCTGCTCAGTGTTAAGAAACCAGGGCTAAAAACTAACAATGGCTGAATGTCAACTGTCTGAAGAACTTTGCACAATGAGGGTTCACCAATCTTTGAATGACCCTGAAGTGGGGAAGTTTATGCCCAACAGCAGAGTTGTAAGCCAATATACACAAAACTGTATGAGTCAAGGAGTCTTCTTAGCAGGAACTCACCAGAGAAATGATGTTGGAAGCAAATTTTTGCCAGGAGATGATGGAAAGGGATGGTGATGCCATCAACTTTAATTGAGCTAGCATGCAGGTCCCCCAACTCCAACAGCTTGGCAAAAGCATCACTGTCGAAAATGCGAAGAGGAAAAAGCTTAGATGAGCAGTGGAGGAAGTTGGAAATTATAGAATGGCTAACATCTACCTTGACCTGTCTGATATCAGAGGGGATTTAAAAACTTCTTCCAAGCTCAGTCCATTTTTACTTTCTGTAATTTGAATAAAAGAGAATATATGTAACTAGGAGTTGAACTGTGGAGTCCTTGGTGCTCTCTGGGTTTGATTGATTGCTTGCAACCAATACCTGATGATATTATCTGGTTGGATAGTGAAACATCTACAAGCAGACAATCAAGCTCAGAGAGCACTACACTTTCTGTAATCTTCGGGGATGCTTCTTCCATTGGTCATCAGCTTACTGTATTCTTTAGACAATATCAGAAAAAATCAGACCCAAGGAATAACACAAAAACTGTTATCATTTGACTGACAGAAAATCCTCCAGGCAGCCATCTCCATTTATTCCTCTACAGGCACACTATTGTAACACAAGATATCATNTGGAGCAAACAGCAAGTTTCACTTTCAATTTCTCCCGATCATCAGCTGTTACAGGCTGCAAGGATTGCTATAGCTTATTGAAGCCTCCGCAAGCCCCCGTTTGCTGCAAAGAGGTAAATTGCTGAGAGGTAAATTGTTGGAGCTGGTGGGTGGTTGGGGCTATATTCAGTGTTTAAGACGCACCCAAATTTTTACCCTCTTTTAGGGGGGAAAAAGATGTGTCCTATACTCCAAAAAATACGGTAAGTAGATCACTAGCCGGTCTCTCAGGTGGAAAACATAACAAATGATGGGAAGAGGAAAGTATCCCAAGTACCAAAAATCATGTTTATCTATTTTTTATTGACCGTTGGGATTTGTTCTGTTCTTTTTAGTGTCTGCTTTCCTCTTCCATTCTTCTGAAAAGAAACAAGCCACCCCCCCCCAAAAAAAAAACCACCCAGGCACATTATTCTCATATATATACTTGGATTATATAGCATCACATTGGTGCAGAAGCAGCAAAATTACTGAGTGCCAGCAAATAATTGCACTGAGACAGTCAATGCAACAAATCTGCTACAGCAAAACTTATCCTCTAAGGAGAGATGCTTTTGGCTCACAGAATTAGCAGTTTTCTCATGGGAAGTCATTTGAAAAGCATTAGCAATTACGTTTCTCCTTCTAATAATGAGATAAACTAGCACAGCAACTCACACAAGGTTCAATAAGAAGCCTCCTGCAAGCTTGCATGGTTTTAATTCCCTTTTTAAAACCTCAAGATACCTCTCTAGGATTTATTTATCTACCGTATGGCATGTTCACATCACATTTCAATAAAAACACAAGAGGTAACAATACAAAATATGAACCATAAAGTCTAAAATATTATAAACCTCTCTAGGAATTCCTAGCGGAGAAAAGCGGATTTTTCTTGGCTGGTAGGAAATGTCATTTCAGCTACTCCTTTAAATTTCCATGGAATTTCTGGAATGAACTTTATTCTTGCTTTTTTTTTATTTTTTCTGATCATAAAGTATTGTTTGCTCTCTGGATTATGATTGTAAATTTTTAACAGAATAACAGAGTTGGAGGTCTTCTAATCCAATCCCCTGCTCAAGCAGGGGTCCCTATACCCATGATGGTGAACCTATGGCACGTGTGCCAGAGGTGGCACTCAGAGCCTTCTCTGAGGGCATGTGCGCCATCACCAGCTGCTCTTCTGGTTTCTGGCACGCATTATCTTCACACATGCCAAAGCCCCGGAAACCTGAAGACCAGCTGGCTGGCGTGCACCCAAAGACCAGGTGGGTGGCACACGCATGCGCACCAGCCAACTGGTCTTTGAGTTTCGGGGGGTGGTGGTGGTGGTGGCACTTGGTGCCAAAAAGATTCGCCATCACTGCCCTGTACCATTTCAGACAAATGATTGCCCAATCTCTTCTTAAAAATCTCCAGTGTTAACCTATTATCTGGTTAACCAATGTTGCCCTAGGAACTTGCCCTAGGAACACTTTTGAGACAAAGGGTAGTACGGGAATTGAAATCATCATCTACCACAGCCAGCCCTCAGAAGAAATTTGCCCTGAAGGGTGCCAAGGAAATCAGGGAGTCTTTTTGGATTGACTTGTCCTATCATTCCCAAGATGGGAATTTTCACTGCCATTTGGTGGTAAATCAGGATAGAAAAGCTGGCTTATATCCAGAGCAGAACCTATTTACTATGTAACAGATAAATGTTTCTCAATCTCAGCAAATTTAAGATATGCTGAGTTCAACTCCCAGAATTTCCAGCATGCTGGCTGGGGAATTCTGGGAATTGAAATTTATTTATTTATTTATTATTAGACTTATATACCGCTTCATAGGGCTTTCA